GACTTCAATTTCTCAATGAACTCTAACATAACAATTTTACTTTATGACCACCAAATCACAGTGATTAATAAACACCTTAGTAAGTATGTAAAAATCAAAGTTTCACAAAGCTTGATCCTCCGCCCATTAGGAAGACACTCATTTACTACAGTTTGAGGATTACTGAACTAAAATCATCTTTGCAGTTACTTTCACTTCTAAAAGCCTTTGATTCAAAGTACTCAATTTAAATTAGAATCTCAAGAAAGATTTCCTCAATTCTCTAGAAGATACTAGAGATAGATACTAGCAAGATTCATACAAATTTTTAAAACTTTTACTCTTCTAAAAATCAATTTTTAGTACAACAAAAGATTTTGACTTCTAATATACCTTTAAAGCAGTTTCCTCTGGTAAGAGAAATAGTATATAAGATATTCAAAAGATGTAACGAGTTTAATATATTCAATTTCTTAAATCTAAAAGGATTATTTCAGTTTAGTCTATCTCAATTTATTAATAGAAAGTTGACTCCTACACTTTAAGCATTTCTTAGTGGTTTATTTCTAAAGTGATATAAATTCTGGACTTTCACAAAATGTTTTAAGACCTTAAATGTACACTTGTGTTCTGAAGTATATTTAGTACTGATACCTTTGCAACAATCTGGTTATTATTTAATTGGAAAGGAATAAAGGGAAGACCAGATAATATAGGCATGCCATTTATACAGCTTTGCCAGAAAGCTATAGTTTAACACTCCAGGTCTATGCCCCACTGATCGATGGGAAAAAGGACTGGACAAAGGCAGTTTAGATGTATGCCCACCAAGGTCTGAGTAACATGGGAGGTGCCTACCCAGGACGTCACACCCAGGAGCAAGTCAGTGGCCAGAAAAGCCGTGGCCACTGCAAGCTGGAGAAATATGAATATTTAACCTCCTGGACAAAAAAAGTTTTTCTCTCTCTCTTGCTATCCCTGCCAGACTCCGGGCTTATGGGGCTCCCATGCCCTGCACTTGCTGTGTGGCTCACGGCCATGTGGACTCCATACAATGGATTAATGGACTAAATCTAGACTAATCCTGATCTGGACCCAGCTGCATCATGGAATGGACAGGACACTCTGGTCTCTGGCCCTATTTCTAGCTTTGCTGAATCCACAACTGCTCTTCTTCCAGGACAGGAATGAGGGAACCAGGACGCTACAATCCCAGAAATATAATTCCACGCCAATAAAAATCATTCATCCTCCCGTGGGGGCTTCTGGATATATTTATTCCAACTGCACCCCAAGAACCTCCTGCCCATGAGTCTTGGAGGGATCTGGCCCCCTCATCTCTCAGGTATCAGTACCACATATAGAGAGATTAAATCCATATTTTTCAATATTTACTACCTAAGACTAACAATACTACCACAAAAATAGAACTATAACAACTGGAATAATAAATAAGCAAATAAATTTTTTAAAAAATAGAAAGATTAATCTCATGTGAAAGAAGAAAAGCAAATGAATAGACACTAAAGTCAGACTGAGTCCAAGCTTTCACAACTTCACACTAAAACTATTATAATAGTATCTTTATTAAATTTTTTTTTATCCTCACCCGAGGACATTTTTTTTCCTATTTTTTGTTCAGATAGAGTGGGAGGGAGGGAGGGAGGGAGGGAGGGAGGGAGAGAGAGAGAGAGAGAGAGAGAGAGAGAGAGAGAGAGAGAAACATTAACGTGAAAGGGACACATCGAGTGACTGCCACCCATACAACCCAACCAGGGCCGGGGACAAACTGCAACCGAGGTACGTGCCCTTAGCGGGAACGGAACCCGGGTCTCTCTGAGGCTCTAACCGCTGAGCCAAACCGGCCAGGGCTTAATTAATATCTCTATCTCTCCTCCAAATCATTTTATATCCTGTTTCCAGATTCATCTTATCCAACTACATAAAAATATTCTATGACATACCGTTGCCTACAGAACCAAGTTGAAAATCCCTGGTCTGGCTCTCAAAACCTCCACAAATTTAGTCTCTACCTGCCACACTGATCCTGGTTTCTGTGAACACCACCACTCCTTTCTAATCTACCTTAGTCAATTTTTCTACTCATTTTCCCTCAAATAAATCTTGAGCAATTAATTCCCCATTTAGCCTTGCCTCCTGCTATTCTCCCTTCCTAGAATGCTCTTCCTATTCATTTTCAATCTTTAATCCCTATTACCTGTACTATTCAAAAAGTTTATGCTCTTTTAAGAAAGCTCCTCTTACTACCCCAGTGTATAGCAACCACCCAGTTTTCACAGCTTGTGATCTATGCCTTGTTTATATCCCTCACTCAGCACTTAGTAAATGCTGTTATTGCCTTATCAATCTGTCTCTCTACCTAGTCTTCCCAAAAATAGATGTAACTGAAATAAAACATTTGCCCCAATACTCAGGAAGAAAAACTGAGAATCAAAGAAAGTGTAAAGACAAAATTACTGAATAGCCATGGGTTTATTTTTTTTCAGTGTGTTTTTTTTGCCTCTCCTGCCTTCTAATTATTTATCTTTTTGGAGAGAAGTCTTAATATTAATACTTATATTAACAATAACAGTAGATTTCATTTACTGAATGTTTACAAAGTACATAGGTTTGTAACAAACTACAGAAATGATCCCTGAAAGTATAGTATTCGAAGTGCATAGGTTTGTAACAGGCACTTTATATATATTATCTCAATTAAAACTGAAAACAACTCAAAGGTAGATATTACTAATATCTTTTTTTAATAAATGAGGAAACTGGAAACCTGGAGAATTTAATTAATTACTCAGGTTATACAACTGAGCGACAGAGCTCAGATTTTAACACACAGTTAAATGTCTACAGAGCCCATGCTCTTAGCTCACTTCTCTAAATCTAAACAGTAACTAGCTTAGCCATGTAGTTCAAAGGTGACATTTCATAAATGAGTAACTCAAAAGTGGACCTCAAGATTAGTTTCAAATACAGAATATTTCAATACTTCATACTGAAATTATTGGTATTCTCTACAAAATAAGCTACAATATTTCATTGAAGAAATTTAATGAACAGGTAGAAAAAAATGCTCACTGCTTTTTAAATAACTTGCTCCAACCTCTCAATACAACAGAATTTAGGATAAAAAATGATTAAAACTTTATTAATATAGTGCAGGTATTCTGGTATAGAATTTAGTACTATCTATTTAGATATTTTAAAAAGTAACAATACATTTTAAGCAATTCTATTCAGAAAGACAGGTATGTAGTCAATACAGACAGTTCCACCACTTAAATTGTGAGCGTTTAGAGAAGATAATAAACCTCCCTCGACCTATTTCCCTATCTATACAAGTGAGGATAAACAAAAATCTACCTTTAATGGCTGCTATGAAGATAGTCTGACAAACTATAGACTTAGAAAATAGCAACTGTTGTTATCACTAGCATTTTTATTATCACTAAGAGATTTTAAATATTTCAACTAAGAGAACTTAAGATAGTCCATTAGCTTTAAATAAGATGCTATTTATGGAAAAGTAAACACTATATTCTAAGACAGGGCTCTAATCTTAACTTTTTTTCTGAAATTATAGGTAAAATAAAATAACTTACCATCAGTTTTCCATTTACAATCATCATGACAATAACCTTCAAAAATCAAGCTATTGCCCTGGCCAGTTTGGCTCAGCGGTTAGAGCGTCGGCCTGTGGTCCTGAGAGACCCGGGTTCGGTTCCCGCTAAGGGCACGTACCTCGGTTGCAGTTTGTCCCCGGCCCTGGTTGGTCGTGAGGGTGGCAGCCACTCGATGTGTTCCTTTCACATCGATGTTTCTCTCTCTCTGTTCCTCTCTCTCCCTCCCACTCTACCTGAACAAAAAATGGAGGGATGTCCTCTGGTGAAGATTAAAAAAAAAAAAAAAATCAAGCTATTCCCCTGTCCATTTTATTCTCTATTAACAAGTTATCATTTTAAAGTTTAACTTTTTTTTGACCACTTAAGAAACTAAAGCAAGTCTGAAGCAGAAATTCAAGAAAGGTTGGGACCAAATTAATACAGGCAAGCAAAATTGCATTTTGCTGTCAATCATTAGACTGTTCCTACATTTCAGCCTGAACAAAGGACATTCACTAAGTTAAAATTTACAAACATCTCAATATTCTAGTGACTCTCAATTCCATAGCAATGTGAAAGATAGACAATTTGACCTTCACATTATTCCAAAAATACAAATTTGTCAAAGAATCTTCCACCTAACAAATCAGAGCTACCAAACTGACATTTTATGCTGTTAGTATCCTTACTTTTAGGTAATAGAAACCTTCCTAATAAAGAGTATATAAATCAGTATTTAATGGAGTCTCTCAAAAATGCTACAGGAAAATTGAAAATGAAATTATCATGGGACAAAGTTTGTACGATGACAAATCATCATTTAATCTACCCTGCTGGTGGATTTTATTTTTTACTTATTGGTAAGGTATACTTAACCATTAGTCCTACTTATTTATTTTAATTTCCTAATACAATTCAATCACAATCACAAGGCAGCAATGTGTATTAAATCATTATACTTTAATAAAAAGAATATATGTGGCTACTGCTCTTAATTCTTAATTCTTATTCCCTCCGCCTGCTCATACCTTCATGTGATGTAAGATTTGGAGGCATTTAATTTCCTCAATTTAGTGAAATTCTCTTGATTTCCCTAAGGCAGAAAGTTTTTTTGGAAAAACAAACACAAACTATTATATCAGTACATCTTACATTATACGGCTGGGAAGGCAAGGGAAAAGAGGGAGGAGATGGGGCAGAAAAATCAGAAAACTGACTAGATAGTGATCTGACAGGATTTAAACTATCTGTAATTTTCATATCAATCGAGGAATTTAAGTATTATTGCAAAATTATTTTTTTAATTTGTTTTAAATACATTTTTTAAATAAAATCATGGCTTACATCAAACGCTTTATAGCTGTACATGATAGTACCTTATTATGCTGTATTTGAACCACTCACCGAAGTTCGGTCAGGTTCTCCATCTGCCAAACCTGCCTCCATTGTGAAAGAAGATAGGTTTATGCTTCTCTTTCCATTAATGTTTAGCCATCCCGTGAATCTGGAAATCCTACAAAAAGAAAATCGTTATGTATTAGGAGTGGTATAAAATTGTGATAAGTGGAAAATAAAGCATTAAAATTATTAGGAGGGAGAGATCATTTTAGGCTGAGGTTACTGAGAAATCCAATAGTGAAAAAAAAAATCAGATTTTGACATGGCCTTGAAAAATAATAAAGGATCAGAGAAAAATGTTAGAAGAAAATATTCCAAGTGAAGAGAAATAGCAAGAACAGGGTTAAAGAATTGGAATTGTTCAAAATTTGAAGAGGCTTAAATCTGCTTTTAATGAATAATATTAGATATCAGTTTTTTCATTACTACACTGGCAAAAAATAAAGAGTGTGCTAATACCCAACACTGGTGAGCATGAGGAAAACAGGTATTCTCATACATTTTTGTGATATGAATATAAATCATAACATTTTTTTGGAAGACAACTTAAAATACATATGCTTCCATCCAACGATTTCAAAGCTAAGAATTATTCCACATATATACTTCTACAAATGCACAAAGATATATAAATAAACACACCCAACAAAGTAATAGATACGATAGAAAAACTGGAAACAATTAAAGAAAAATTTTTTTTTCTTTATTGATTTTAGAGAGAAAGGGAGAGGGAGAGATAGATAGAAACATCAATGAGAGAGAATATTGACTGGCCTCCTCATACATGCCCCCACTGGGGATTTGGCCCACAACCTGGGCATGTGCCCTGACCGGGAATCGAGCTGGCCACCCCATGGTGCATGGGTCAATGCTCAACCAAACCACACCAGCTGGGCTGGAAACAATCTTAATGTCCATCATTAGGAGCTTGCTTAAACTAGATTACAGACATAAAATGAAATACCATACAGCATTTTAAAAACTGAGATAGATCTAGAGATACTAAACTAGAAAGAAGACCACAAGAACACGAGGTGAAAAAAGCAAATGATAGGACATTACATATAAAATATTCTTTGTGTTTCTATAATTTTCCATTTTTACAACAAACATGTATTAGTTTTATACTTATTTTTATTTTGAAAGTCTTAGAAAATGTTTCATCGAGTCTTTTTCTTTTGAACATTTAAATTAACAAAACCTCCAAGCAGAACTCCTTTAGTAACTACATGTATTCAGAAGTCTCTAATAGTCTCACTAATAATTCTGCCTTAAAATAGCTAACAAAACCAAAACCAACAAATCGGTAGATTTTTAGTCATTTCCTGGAGTTCCAAAAACATTTCTTTTTCTGCAAGTATAAAAGGCATTTCACATATAAATGCCAGTGAAAATACTTTAATTGGGCTTTAAAGGGATGTCATTTGGTTTCTTTGATATAACCAAATAAGGTTAACCCAAGCTAAGCTGACTTTTAACTTAAGTGTATTAAAAAGTTATGTTTACACTATCCTGTACTATATTAAGGGTGCAATAATTTTGTGTTTTAAGAAAACAATGTGCACACCTTAATTAAAAATACTTTATTGCAAAAAAAATGCTAACCATCATCAGAGCCTTCAGCAAGTCATACTCTTTTGGTGGGTGGAGGGTCTTGTCTCAATGTTGATGAAAACACAATACTATATATATAACGGACTATTTTTCATCCATAAAAAAGAAGAAAATCCCACCATTTGTGACAACATGGATGGCCCTGAGGTCATCATCCTAAGTGCAATAAGTCAGACAGAGAAATACAAAGACTATATGATATCACTTATATGTGGAATCTCAGAAAACTGAACTCATAGAAACAGAGGGTAGAATAATGGTTGCCAAGGCTGGTGGGGTTGGGGGTGGTGGTGCAAATAGAAAATGTTTGTCAAAGGGGACAAAATTCCAGTTATAAAATGAATAAGTTCTGGGGGATCTAGTGTATAGCATGGCAACTTAATTAGTAATACTGTATTATGTATCTGAAGTTGCTAAGAGAGTTGATCTTAAATGTTCTCACCACAGAAAGGAAACAGTAATTAGATCAGATAATGGAAATTTTACTAACCCTATTGTGGTAACCATTTTGCAATATATCGGTGTATCGAATCATCACATTGTACATATATTAAGCTTATACAAGTATATGTCAATTATATCTCAATAAAAAAATAAACCCAAGAAATTAAAGATCAAAAAAGAATGTAACATACACTTCCTCACTCTATGTATTACAATGCATTGTAATTATTTGTCCTTACGATCCAATTCACCCCAAGGACAGAGACTGTTTAACTGCTCTGACTATCCAGCACTAATTCATGGTAGACATTTAATAAAATTATTTGCACTGAATTAATACTGTCAACTCAGTTAGCTATATGAATAAATAAAAAAATCCAAAACAGCAGTTCAATGAAAAACAGGAAGTCACTTCTACCAAATGTCTGGCAAGGTATGAAACAAATTCCATTTCCCATCATCTCTGGACCAAGCACTAATATACATTATTCATAAAATTTATCGTATATAAACCTTAATATCTATTGTTGCTCCACCATCAATTATATATCATTTATAGGGCTCAAAACAAATTTATCAAATATTTATTTAAACCTTGTCATGTAAAAGACACTCTTCTAGATTCTGCACATAGAGAACAATACACATCATTCCTATCCTAACCAAGAGACAGCAAAACAAACTGGCTAGTATACTACAATGTAATGAGCCTACGACAAAGGTATGTACTACATGATGTTACCTACAGCAGTACATAAGGATATTAAACCCAGACTTCTGGCAGTGGTAGAGTGAAAATACCCCCTCAAAAAAACAAAAAACAAATAGTCCTTGCAAAATCCCTTTGTATTAAAAACAAACAAATTAACTACCAGAAGTAGAATATGTAAATAAACCTAACTAGGATTAATGCAGAACCTTTCATAAATATTTATAAACAAATGGATTTTTTTTAAAGTTCTTTTTCTTTATTGATATTTAGAGACAGTGGAAGGGAGAAGAAGAGATAGAAACATCAATGAGAGAGAACATCCACTGGCTGCCTCCTGCATGCCCCCCTCTGGAGATTTGGCCCACAACCTGGGCTTGTGCCCTGACAGGAAATTGAACCGGAGACCTCTTGGTGCATGAGTCGATGCTCAACCACTAAGCCACATCGGCTGGGCTCAAATGACTTTCTTAACTTATGCAGTCAATTTTGAACTTGTTTACTTTTCTTTTTTGAGATTCATCTATTTGGTTTTAGACTTAGTAACAAACAAAACTAGTTTACATTATCTTCCAAGAGATATATAATTCTACAAAAGAATAAAGAACTGAAGTAATTTAAGATAAATTACTACACAGTTTATAATTTTTCTTTAAAAATATGTGTGGAAAAGGAGTAAATAGAAAGGTAATTTCCTAGTTTCAAATTAAACTTTGGTTACAACAAGAGTCTATCATATATATAACTCAATGGACATTTTTCAGAGAAAAAGTATTTATGAATAGTGAAACATAACTCAAAATAATATAAGTTTTCCTAAAGGTATCAAGCTAACCTACAGAAAGGTACATAAGACCCCTCTTACTATATATTTATCCTTGCCCCTTGAAACCTCAAGAGTAGGAAAAAAATCATTCTAAAGTGAAATACATACAGCTCTTTGTGTTTTCAAAGAAACAGCAAAGTAATATATAGAAACAATAACTAACCAAGTAGAACCAGACCCCAGAACCCAGTCTGTGGTCTCTAAATATCACTTCTCATTAAAAGACACCAGGTCTTCTTGGAGAAATGGCATATATCCAAGTTTAAGAAAACAAACGTACAAGGTAAGCCTAGTGTATCTTGTATTCCAGTGCCTTACATATATAAGCAAAAAAGTTATCAAAGATGCCTTAAGTCATATAATGAAGACTCAGGTGTCAGCTTGTGGGAGTCCCTAAAGCCAAAGATGAGACAACCTTGTGGAGAAAATTTATATCTATAAAAGGCAGTTTGAAAATCAAAGAGATGATCATCACTTCAAAAAAATGGAAAAAAGAAGCAAGTTAAACCTAAGAAAGTAAAAGGAAGCAAAGAGCAGAAATAAATGACATCAAAACATCAAAAACTAAAAAACAAATTGAAAATCAACAAAGTCAAAAGTTAGTTCTTAGAAAAGAAAAAAATGAACAAATGCCAGGTAAGACTAAGCAAGGAAAAAAAGAGCAGAAATAACCAATATTATGAATGATAAAGGAGAAATCATAACTAATTCTCCAAACTTTTAATACATCCTAAGAGGAAATTAAAAATAATACTATACCAATAAATTTGAAAATGTATAAGAAATAGACAAATTCCTAGAAAAATTCAACTTACTAAAACATATACAAGAAGAAACAGAAAATCAAAATAGTCCTATTGAATCCATAATAAAAACTTGTCCATAAAGAAAATTCCCATTGTAGATTACTTCACTAGTGAATTTTACCCAACACTGGGGTGTGAAAGCAATAGAAATCTTATGGAAATTTTTTTTTAGAAAAGAAAAAAATGAAGGAACACTACCCAAATAGTTTTATAAGGCCAGCATAAACCTGATATAAAACTAGACAAGGATTTTAAAGACAGGAAAATTATGACTCAAGACATGGATGTCAAAATCCTAGAGTATCTGAAAACCAAATCTAGTTATATGTAAAAGGGATCAAGTTAATAATAATCAAGTTAAATTTATCTGTTAAAAAAAAAAAAATCGATATAACCCACCACATTATAACAAAGGAGAAAAATCACATGTTCATTGTAATAGATTATAAAAAAGAATTTGATATCATTTATACCCACTCATAATAAAAACTCTTCTCAAGCTATACAGAGAAGGAAACCTCCTTAATCAAATAAAATATCACAATATGAAATGTTGAATGCTTTCAAAGGTGGAAAATTATTTCTTGAACACAAAGAACTAATAATATAAAAACTGATAAAGTACATTAAAAGGAACTTCAATTCGTCAAAAGACATAAAGCCAATGAAAAGGCAAGATGCAGTGTATAAGCAAGTTGCCACACATGATAGACAAATGACTCATATTCATACTAGTATAAAGAACTTCTATAAATCAATAAGAAAGATATGTAACCCAATAGAAAGAAAATAAGGAAGACACTTGAATAGGTGTTTCACAAAAGAGTTCACTCAAATAGCCAACAACTATATGAAACAGAGCTCTAAGAACCCATAAGAATAACTGGAATTAAGAAGACTGACAATACCAAGTATTGGTAAGACATAGAAGAATAAAACCTCATACACTGATGACTGGGAGTAGTACGTTAGTACAACCATTATGGAAAACAGGCCTTATCTTTCCTCTAAAGTTGAATATATACAGATCCAAAGATAACAGCAATTACACTCTCAAATTATATATATATATATATATATATACATAAAATATATACACACACACCAATATTTGAAAAAATGCATTCACAATCACACCAAGAAATACATACAGAAATATTCATAGCAATATTATTTGTAATAGCCAAAATCTATAGGGGAGGCCATGTTCATTAACAATAGAAGATACAAACAATTGTGGTAAATTCAAACAATGGAATATAATACACCAAAAGGAAACTATAATTATATAGATTGCTCTCATCAGTAGAATATTATTATCTTATATAACAAGTATATATAATATAATCCAATCTACATAGGGTTCAAAAATAAGACAAATTAATCAATGGCACAGAAATCCAGATAATGGTTTATCTTTGAGGAGGATGGATTAGGTAATGACAAGGATGGAACAAAGGTTCCTGAATGCTATCAACGTTACATTTCTTGACCTAGTCAGAGCTTTTATAAGGGTTGGCTTTGTAACAATACAATGAACTCTACATTTATTGTACATGTGTAAAAATGTGCTTTCTTTATAATAAAAAAAAAATCATTCTAAGGCAAAAGTAATTTAAATAAGAGGTTAGGTGGAGAATGGGGTAAAAGTCCTTTTAGAATTCTCAAACTCTAAATTTCTGATTAAATCAGTGGCCCACTATATCTAATACAATATGCTATAATATATTAGATGACAGTTTAGCATTCTTATAGCACAGTGAGTTGATGCCCTAATTCTATTCAATGCCTATGTGTACACTTTTTTAAAAATATGTTTTTATTGATTTTTAGATAGAGAGGGAGAGACACAGAAACATGGATCGGCTGCCTCCTGCATATCCCCTTCTGGGGATCAAGCCTGCAACCTGAGCATGTGCCCTGACAGGGAATTGAACCGGTGACCTCTTGTTGCATGGGAAGACTCTCAATCCACTGAGCCACATTGGCCAGGCCAGAAATACTATTTAAATACAATCACTTTGTACTGCATCAGCTAATATGCTAGAGTAGAAGATAATTCTGATCTTCACACTGAATTCTACTGCAGAAATGCAAAGTAAGGTGACAACATAAAAGCAGTCAATAGAAAAAAAATAAAGCTAAAGACTAATCATTTCCATGCTCTCTAGAATATGTTTCTGGAGATAATTTTAAAATCTCATGTGAGGTGGGGAAAATATTTTAGGCTAATTACCTAACATAAATGAAATTTTCATTATTAAGATAAATTAATAGTGTGTTTATCAAATATACATGACAAACATTAAACATAAATATTATCTATTTATTAATGTATGTACTCATTTATAGTCTTCCATCACCTGGTACTTATACTAATTGTTTTAAGAATGGGAATTAATATCTCTATAATTGTATATACAATACAGAGAGGTAATAATTGCTCAAATAGACTACATTGATAGAAACAAGAATCACAGTTTTCCCTCTCACTTACCTCCCACACACCATCCTGTAACACATCTCAGAGAAAACAACTTTAAACAAAAGGCTACAAGAAAAAAATATGGATAATTTTATTGTTTTGGAAAGCTTTGTTGGGAACTTCTTGGCATGAACCAATATTCCAAATGTTTTTAAGTTAACTTGAAAAGTACATACTAATATCACACTAGTTTTAAAAAAGCAGCAGACAAGAGCAAAGGGACTCCATCTATCCTCTGGTGCAGAGTTGTTTCCTTCTCTGTGCACGCAAACTGCTTTTAGTACAGAACAGAGCACATTATATTTCTAAATGTGTTTCAATATCTGCTTCTGCCATTTAGATCCAAAGCTCCATGACAGACAGTTTACACCAATTAATGAGTTCCTGGTAAGTACCAAGCATTCTGCTACCTTCCAAAGAACCAAAGTGTACAAAATATACATGGTCCATGACTTCATGTAAAGTCCATGAAGCTTCTCATACAAAGTGATGTTTTAAGTTGAGATCTAAAGGATGAGTGGCAGTTACCTAAACAAAAGAATAGCAAGAAACACATTCCAAGTAGAGAACGTGCATAAACTCTAAGGCAGGAAGCCACTCCTATATTCTTGTGTGTCCAGTAGCACTGCACCCTGCATAGTAGATACATTACATTAGTGATAATGAGATAATGGGGGGGGGGGGGTGGTGAGCAGATGAAAATACGGGAGAGAAAAAAATTACATGTATATAAGATCAGTCCTATTTCACCCAATTTTTTATATTTTGAATTTGACAATTCACATTTAAACATGCTGTTTAATTAAACCTTTTAAAGAAATTTAACAAACCACTGGTGAGGGTCCATTCAGTAGCTGCTTCTCTTAGGCACAAGAAGAAGAAAGAGAAGCAATTAGAGAGTGTAAACATTTCTCTTCTATAGAACAAGAAAGTTCTCAAAAGAATAATGTGTTGCACAGAAAGAGCAAATTATTTTTGAGAAAAACATCACTTTACTTACCTGCTATTCTCTTCCTTCAAGCATTTCTTGTACTTTAAGAATGCACCATCAGGGTCCAAATCTGTCTTATAACCCACTAAATCAGCACTTAACACGGTGTGAATGATAATATCCTTAACTGTTCATAAAATGCACCATGGGTTTTCACAGTAGCCAAAAACTGAATTCCTAATTATACAAACATGTTTTGACCGCAAAGAAGTGTAAATAACAAGACTAATGATTCTGCCTACCAAAACAAGTATATTAAAAAGTGGCGTGTGATACTCTGATTTCTCTTCAGATTGTATAAATCTTCAGCCTTTTAAAGAGTGGTATGTGGCAACTTCCAGCAAGATGGTGGCATAGGTAACCGTGGTACCCGCTTCCTCCCACAACCACATCAAAATTACAACTGAACTACAGAACAAACATCATGCAGAACCACCTGGAATTTGGATGAATGGAAATCCTACAACTAGGAAATTAAAGAAGAAGCCACAGTGATACTGGTAGGAGGATCCCAGCCCCACACCAAGGCCCCCACCCCAGAGTTCCAGTGCCAGGAAGAGAAGTCCCCATAACTCTGGCTATAAAAGCCAACAGGGATTAAGGCTGAGGGAGATGGAGGTCTGCTGGAGTCCCAGGAAGTTCCTCTTAGAGTCCCATGCACAGACTTGCTCAGTTCACTCCCTCTGAGCTCCAGAGATGGGGCAGCAGCGTAAGAGGCAACAGAAACATATGAGAAACTGAACTGCCCAGCATCAGAGCAAGAGCTGGGGTAGGGAGAGGTCAGCTTTCTTCCCAGACAGAAGTACTGGAAGAGACACTTCTTTGATGAGCCCTCTCCCTATAGAGCCAGCAGGTGGGCACCATATCTGAGACTTGATCAGCCAGCCTGGTTCACAATGTTTGCCCCGCCCTGGTGATTCCTTGAGGCACTGCCCCTTCTAACTTTCAGGTCCACCCAAGCTGTTTTCAGTGGCTTTTCCATACAAATGGCCTGTCTTGGCTCATGCTTCAGATTTTCCTAAAATCTCTCAAACAAGCAGCATATAGCCTCCAAGCCCAGCACAAGTAGCAGCCATCTGCAGATCACTTTATAGCTTATGCCGGGTGACCCCAGGCAGGACAAAGGCAGCAGCTGACCTTGGCCTGCACTTCCTGGGAGGCCCCAGAGCCAGCACACCCAATGGATAGATAGCTTCAGACCAGCATCATCACCCAACCACCACCCCCATAAGCAACACATTCAAGGGGAGAACTCAGTGGGTACCAGAGTCCCATGGAAGTAAGTCTTGCCCTGAGGAGTGGCCCCTGCACAGCTAGCTGATCATCCTCCATGGTGGCCGGATGTTGGTGGTCAGTACTGCAGACAGCCCTTGCAGCTGACCAACCTGGCGATAAATGCCTCCCACTGACATGCCAACAGCAATTAAGGTTCAACTACAAGAGCTCACATAGGGAAGAGGGTGCACCTCAAATGCCCAGCTTGGATGATCAGAGAGGCTGTGCCACTGGACCCTACAGAACACCTACCACATTAAGCTACCCTAGCAAGCCTAGGAGATATAGCAATTCTGCCTAAGACATAGAAATAAACACACGGAGGCTGCCAAAATGAGGAGACAAAGAAATATGTCGCGCCCTGGCCGGTTTGGCTCAGCGGTTAGAGCGTCGGCCTGCGGTCTGGAGAGACCCGGGTTCGGTTCCCGCTAAGGGCACGTACCTCGGTTGCAGTTTGTCCCCGGCCCTGGTTGGTCGTGCAGGTGGCAGCCGCTCGATGTGTCCCTTCACATCGATGTTTCTCTCCTCTCTCTCTGTTCCTCTCTCTCCCTCCCACTCTACCTGAACAAAAAAATGGAAAAATGTCCTCGGGTGAGGATAAAAAAATAAATAAATAAATAAATAAAAGAAATATGTCGCAAATGAAAAACAGAACTCCAGAAAAGGAACTAAACAAAATGGCGACATGAAATCTACTAGATGCAGAGTTCAAAACACTGGTTATAAGGACGCTCAATGAACTTAGTGAGAACATCAACAGCATAAAAAAGAACAAGTCAGAAATAAATAGTACACTAACTGAAATAAAGAATATTACAGGGAATAACAGTAGAGTAGATGAAGCTGAGAATCAAATCAGCCATTTGGAATATAAGGAAACAAAAAACACTCAATCAGAATAACAAAAAATAATAATAATAATAATCCAAATAAATGAGGATAGTGTAAGGAGCCTCTGGGACAACCAACATTCAAGAATACCAACATTCACATCATAGCAGTGCTAAAAGGAGAAGAGAGAGCAAAAAAATTGAAAACCTATTTTAAAAAATAATGACAAAAACATTTCCTAACCAGAAAGCACAGAGTCTCAAACAAAATAAACTCAAAGAGGCCCAAACCAAGACACATCATAATTAAAATACAAAAGGTTAAAGACAGAGAGACTCTTAAAAGCAGCAAGAGAAAAGCAGTTAGTTACCTATAAGGGAGCTCCAATAAGCCCTGGCAAAGTGGCTCACTTGGTTGGAGCATGAGCATGTACACCTAAAGGTTGCAGATTCCATTCCCAGTCAAGGCACACACCTAGGTTACAAGTGTGATCCCTGGTTGGGCGCATGTGGGAGGTAGCCAATCGATGTTTCTCTCTCTCCCTCCCTTCCTGTCTTTCTAAAAATCAGTAAAAACATATCCTCAAATGAGAAGTAAAAAAAAAAAAAAAAAGACTGTCAGCTGGCTCCTCAACAGAAACTTTGGAGGCCAGAAGGGACTGGTTGTTACAGAACAGTCATGGGAATGTAAAGTAAAGCCAGGAGGTTAGAGATTTGCTGGGATTATCACTTATTAAATTATATAATGTCTAATCACTGAGGTGTATACCTGAAACTAATACAGTAATGTATGTCAGCTGTAACTGAAAATAAAAATAATTTTTAAATGGGGGTAAAAATTAAGAGAGAGGATCCACCTAAGAGAGGGAAAAGGGAATTTCCAAGATGATGCTAGGGATGTGCCAGGACAACAATAAGCAGTAGGTCGAGAGAGCAACCAGCCCAGAAAGATGCGGCTGCAGGGAGATATGTCTGAGGAATAAAAGAAAGAAAAGAAGCTGAAAACTGAGAAATAATCTGATGTGTCTGATCACAGTAAGAGGAATTTAATGACTCTATTGGAGAGGAGTTGGTGATATGTACATAAAAATTAAGGAACTGAAAAACTGAGGCAACTATCAACTCTAGGGGGGAAAATGAATCAAAAGAAAGGAAATAATCAGCAGCAGTATCAACCATATAGCTCAGTGAATAATACTTAATCATAGCATTATTATATAACATAAACATTAATATCAATGTAACCAAAATGTGTGATATAACCATATTAGGGAGATGGGGGAGCAATAATATGGCTAGGGTGATATGAGTGCTACATCCTTATCTTTAATAATAAGAGACCAATAGAAAATAACTAGAATAGAAAAAATAGTCATATAGACACTTTAAAATTGAAAGTTTGCCTCTGGTAGGGAGAACTTGGAGGTGGGGAGGTGAGACAGGGAATTGCTATTTTTCATTGTAAGTTTTGTGTTGTTTTTATAAAAGTAGATATGAAATTTAAAATAAAAATAAATAAGTGACATGTGGCAAATGTGGGGAAATTGGAATCACTGTGCTCTCTTGGTGTGGAAAACAATATGGTGGTTCCTCAAAAAATTAAAAATAGAATGACCACAGTATCCAGCAATTCCACTTCTGGGTATATCCCCGAAAGAATTGAAAGCAGAGTCTTGAACAGATATTTATACACCCATGTTCATAGCAGCACTATTCACAATAGTTAAAATGTGTCTGCTGACGAATGAATAAGCAAAATATGATAAACACAGACAATAAAATATTACTCGCTTTTAAAAAGAAGAAAAATCTGACACATACTACTACAGAGATGAACCCTGAGGACATTATGCTAAGTGAAATAAGCAAGTCAAAAAAACATATACTGTATGACTCTATTCATATGATATACCTAGAGTAGTCAAAATCGAAGAGATAAAGTAGAATGGTGGTTGCCAGGAGCTGAAAGAAGGAGAAATAGGTAGTTATTGTTTAATGGCATAGTTTCAGTTTTACAAGACAAAGAGTTCTGGAGATGAAAGGTGGTAATAGTTGCACAACACATGAACATACTTAAATGAACTGAATTTAGACTTAAAAATACTTAAGGCAGTAAATTTTATTACCACATTTTTTTTTTTTACTTGGGGGGAAGTGGTATGAAGTTTTCCTATTTAGAAATACTATAATTCGAGATCAGATTCAAGACATATCAACTTTCCACAACAATGACAAATCTGTCTAGTTCTGTTTAGAAATAAATCTATTATTACAGTGGCATTGTGACCCCTTCTCCATGATGCACTAGTTATTCACATAGAATCTGAATCCTTTAAGTTAATTTTGTTCCATTTGTGAGCAAATGACCCTGCCCTTCCTATAATAGGTTAAATTTTAAATCTTTCAAGTAAGTTAGACCATAAATTTGCTGCTTCTTAAGGACCACCCATAAATTCAGTAGTTCTAGAACTCTTGCAATTTTAAAAGAGAAAAAAGTGCCTACATAAAATCCAACTAGAACACCTGAAAAAAACAAAAAACTGATACGGTTAAGGCACATGGGCATGATCTTAAGCCAATGTTTTATTTATTTGAACTTTAGAATGTCTATTTTAAAATTGGAAACAAAACAACTCAGGATCACAACAAAATTAATTCCAGATCAAATAAGACAAATATTTTAGGTCAAATTATGAGGTGGGATTGAAAATACAATATTGACTTAATATATTAAGAAATAACTTATCTTTGCGGATGCATAAGAAATATTGAAAAATGGCCAAATGTAATAATATTTTCAATATTTGAAAAAAATTAAAATTATACAGAGAAAAAAATTATAAAAGAAAAACAAAACATAACATTAATAATTATAATGTATAAAGAATCCCTTAAAGCATATCAGATCTTAAGACCCATTTATTTAATGAATTAATATTTTTCAGTACATACTATGTACCAACCACTGTTCTAGGAACTTAAGAATTAGTCAGAAAAAGTGATTATTTTTATTATCTTAGGGATGTGTAAGGGGGAGTTACTGACCAGAAGGGGGCATGAAAGAGTTAGAAATGTAATATACCTTGACTGCAGTGGTAGTGACCAGGGTGTATTTTTGTAACATTCACTGAGCTGCACACTTATGATTTGTGCATTTTAGTGTATGTAAGTTGTACGTCAATTTTTTTGTGACAGCTCATTTGTGTTGCCTTCCACAGTTGCTAACTATTCCTCTATATACTACTTCAATTTGAATTCAAAGAACCTTAACACATATTTCTGGCATAGCAGAAGAGTACTACATGTTTCACTGTGATGGCAGATGTTTTAAATAACCCAAGAGGAAAAAAAAGATGTAAATTTATAGTCAAATACTAAATTACATCATTGGATTCTATTCGTCAACATACAGCTCAAAACTATTAACTGAATTTTTTTCAAATGCTTATTTCTCTAGCAGCCAGATAATTATGCTGCCAGATGTGAACCTAACCATTTTACTCTGTATCAGAGTTACTCAGCAGTCATTGGTTTACCAACTTCACAATTTTTTATATACACTAGTACCATACAGTTATTTAAAAAATTTTAATCATGCCCTGGCAGGTTTGGCTCAGCAGTTAAAGCATCAGCCTGCAGACAAGAGAGTCCCGGGTTCGGTCCCTGCAAAGGACTCGTAACTCGGTTGCAGTTTGTCCCCAGCCCCGGTTGGGGTCGTGTGGGTGGCAACCAATGGATGTGTCTCTCTCACATCGATGTTTCTCTCTCTCTCTTCCCCCTCTCTCCCTCCCACTCTATCTGAAGATAAATGCAAAAATGTCCTCAGGTGAGGATAAAAAGAAAA